CCCTCTTCTCTTCCTGGTCTTCTCTGTGTTTTACAACACTTATTTAAGCATCTCTTCTCTACCAAACTCCCATTTGATTTCTACTTCCTTTTAAGCATGTTTTAAACTTAAGAATAAATCTCCTTTATCAATAGTTTGCCAATAAGGCAAGTGTGTATTTTCTTCATTGGAGTCACTGGGTTTCTGAACAGGTACAGGGGCTTGTTTCACCCTGTGCCAGCTTCACCAAGAACCTGGTTGAGGGGCTATTGAAGGGCTGGGCTCCTGCTTTAATTGTGCCTGGCCACAGCCCACAGTCATCTTCAATGAAGGAAAAATGAGCACTATCAATGCAGCTTCATGAGGCTCTCAGGCTGAGGATGAGATTTATGAATTAACTCCAGGGTTTATGAATTTTTATCCAGTGATGTGGTACATATTACCGATAAACATAATAGTGGAAGACACTAGAAACCTATTTTCCTCACGAACAACTTAAATTGGAGAAACAGAACCTTTACATTTCCAAGTTAGTGCCCTTAACCTTGTATTTTGTAATTCTTGCTAATTAACAAATATTAAGAATGAGTGTTAGTATAAAAAGAACATTGGAAATAGGAAGTTATAAGATTAGCTGTCTAACAAGTATTAAGATCAGTGACTAACAAGTATTGCTCCAAAACAGGCAGTTTTTTTCTCACTGGGTCCTTTTCAGTAGAATTTGGGTGTGGTAAATGTACTTCCAGTGTAAACAATCAGCAAATGTCCATCATTGTAAATAAAGTTAATCTATATACAAAAGGATAAGATTAGCTACTTTGCATCACTGTTTAAATCGTGCACTGCATTTAAGAGAAAGCTAATCACATCACAGCATTGAGTATTTATTATGATATATTTAATATGATTAATATTTATAATGCCAAATTTTCAATACAGTGGTAAAGTGTGTTTGTTGTTTTGAAAAAATACATATTTGATAGTTATTTGACAGATAAGAGTGTCTTGAAAAAATAGTGCCTTTCTCTAATTCTCAAAAGGGCATCATCATATGTGTTTGTGGTGGCCCTAATAACCCATGTAAAAGAAGTTTTATAAATCAGAGTGCTTCCTAAATTTTATCAAATATTTTGGGTCTCCAAATAATGATCAAATCTCAATATTAACTCTTGTCACCCTATGTAGGTCATTTAACTTTCTAAGACACATTTTCTCTTCTGTGATATCAGAATCATGGTCAACTCATTATTTTGGCCCTTTTTACTCTACTACCACGTCAAGATTCTTCTTATGGAGCAGATACATATATGGCTTGTTTGAGTAGTATGGAAGTTTGAGGAGTCCTCCAAATATATGCAAAAGATTAAAAAATATCTGAAAGCTAAAATCTTATTAACTTTAACATAAACTTCAGGAAAAAATATTATTGCTGAAGAAAGAACACTGATGTTTTCAAACATCAACTACATATCAAGCTTTTCTCTATATTATCTTATGAACCTTTAAAATCATCCTGTTAGTTATCCCCATTTTATGTAGAAGAAAACAGTTAGTATATTGCATAACCAATCACACTGCTTCTCAGAGGCCAAGGTCTACTATCTCAAGGGTCTAGAGCAAAGAAAACTGGGAAATAGAAAATTGATATTATCTGAAAGAGGCCAAAAGAGGTGCAAAGATCTGGGAGATGTGGATATTCAGTCTACCAAAATGGTTAGACCAGGGTTTACAAATTATGACTCAAGGAACAAGTCTGCCCATCCCCCATTTTTATAATGTTTTAAGGGAACACAGTCGTGTTCACTCATTTATGTACCATCATTGGCTGCTTTCATACTACAAAAAAGAAATAAGCAGTTGTGATACCTTTTGGCCTTAAAAACTTAAAATATTTACTATATAAGTTTTCTGACCCCTGATAAGAATTTTATGCTTATAACCATAACCTATCCATTCATCTCCAGATTTTACCAACACCATCCTTAATATTGAAACTTCTGCTGGAAAACTTGTTACTGACAGCCAATGTAGTGTTTGATTATATCTGTCTTTACTTGAGCTTACTGACATTTCTTTTTTGAGCACTGACTATAAACCAGCTCTTAAACCACTGAGATCATAAAGCCCGAACAAGTTAACCATATTAAGTTCTCAAGAGGTTCCCACTTCCACCCAAGGTGCTAGTTTACTAGTTCCCATCACATATCGGGGCACTCTTCAAGGCTGAAGGTGGAATCAAGGTCTATTTCCAAATTGATTACATAAAACACAGTGTTGTGGTAAATAACTGCCATAAAAGAAATGACTTCACTTATTAGTAGATTAATGATCTCTATATATTATATGTGACAGGTAGGACAAGGCCTTAATCAATGTGATCCTTTTCAAAGAGCATAGATGCTTCCTCAACTGCCATGTACTCAACATATAATACCAGCTTATTTCAAGAGTAGAATGTTTTACCAGCACCCATTTATGAAAATTACTCTCAGCAAAGTGGTAATAGAGGGAACATACCTCAACATGCTAAAGGCTATATATGATAAACCCAAAGCCAGCATCATATTCAATGGACAAAAACTGAACGTGTTTCCCTTAAATCAGGAACAAGACAGAGATTTTCACTTTCACCACTCTTACTAAATGTAGTACTTAAAGTCCTAATCACAGTGATCAGATAAGAAATAAAGGCATTCGAATTGGAAAGGAGGAAGTAAAATGTTACTACTTGCAGATTACATGATACCATACATAGAAAACCCTAAAATAAAAAACTACTATAACCGATCATTGGATTCAGTAAAGTAGCAGGATACAAAATTAATATTTCAGAAGCCAGTGGCACTTTTATACATCAATAGTGAACCATTATAAAGAAAAATTAAGAAAACAATCTCATTAACTATTGCAAAATTAGATAAATTGCCTAGGAATAAATATAATCAAAAAGTCAAAGACCGCCCTGGCTGGTGTGGCTCAGTGGGTTGAGTGCCAGCCTGTGAACTAAAGGGCTGTGGGTTCAATTCCCAGTCAGGGCACGTACCTGAGTTGTGGGCCAGGTCCCCAGTAGGGGGTGCATGAGAGGCATCCACATTGATACTTCTCTCCCTCCCTTTCTCCCTACCTTCTCTTCTCCCTAAAAATAAAGAAATATTTTTTAAAAGACCTATACTCCAAAAATCATAGGCTACTGAAGAAAGAAATTGAGGAACAAGTAAGTGGAAGCATATACCACGTTCATGGAGAGGAATAATTAACATCATTAAAATGTCCATACTGCCCAAAGTAATCTATAGATTCAAAGGAATTCCTGTTAAAATACCAATAGCACACCTCACAGAACTAAAACAAATATTCTAAAAATATGTATAAAACCACACAAAAAAAAACCCAGGAATAGCCTCAGAAATCTTGATAAAATAGAACAAAGTTGGAGTTATCACATAACTAATATCAAACTATACTACAATGCCACAGTAATCAAAATAGCATGACACTGGCATAAGAATAGGCACATAAATCAATAAAATAGAATAGAGAGCCCAGAAATAAGCCTACATCTTTATGGTCACTTAATATTTGATACAGAAGCCAAGAACACAAAATGGGGTTAAAACAGTCTATCTAATAAATGGTATTGGGAAAATTGGACAGATGCATACAAAAAAAATGAAACTAGACCACCTCCTTACACAATACACAAGAATTAACTCAAAAGGGATTAGAGATTTAAATGTAAGTCACAAAGCCATAAAAATCCTAGAAGAAAACATAAATGGTAAAAATCTCAGACATTTCTCCTAGCAATATTTTTGTGGTATGTTTTTTTCAGGCAAGGGAAACAAAAAAATAAACAAATGGGATTCAATCGAACTAAAAAGTTTTTGCACAACAAAAGAAGTCATCAACAAAATGAAAAGATAACCAACTGAATTTGAGTACATATTTGCCCGTGATACACATGTAAGAACTTAATTTCTAAAATATATAAAGAACTTACACAACTCAACAGCAAGAAGACAATCCCATTTAAAAATGGGCAAATGACCCAAATAGACACTTCTCCAAGGAGAACATACAGATGGAGATTAGACATATGAAAAGATGCTCAACATCACTAATTATCAGAGAGATGTAAATTAAAATCACAATGAAATATCACCTCACAACTGTCAAAATGGCTGTCATCAATAAATTAACAAACAACAGGTGCTGGCAAGAATGTGGAGAAAAGGAAACTCTTGGGCATTATTGGTAGGAATAAAGATTTGTGCAGCCTCAGTGGAAAGCAGTATGAAGTTTCCTTAAAAAATTAAAAATAGAACTGCATCATGACCCAATGATTCCACTTCTGAGAATATATCCAAAGAAAACTGAAACACTAATTCAAAGGAATATATGCACCCCTATGTTCACTGCAGTGGTATTTATGAAAGCCAAGATTTTGAAACTGTCCAAGTGTCCCTCAGTTGATGAATAAATGAAAAAATGCTTTGGTACATTTACATGGTGTGATATTACACTCAGCCATAAAAAAAGAAAATCTTGTGTGACAGCACGGAGGGACCTGGAGAGTATTATACTAAGTGAATTAAGCCAGTCAGAGAAAGACAAATAATTTATGATTTCACTTATATGTGGAATCTAATGAAGCAAATATTCTAACAAACAAAATCAAAACAGAAGCATAGATACACAGAACAGACTGACAGCTGTCAGAGGGGACAGGATTGGGGGGGGCTGGGTGAAAAAGTTGAAGGGACTAAGAAAAAATAATTATAATAATATACAGACACAGACAATGGTGTGGTAATTGCCAGAGGAATAAGAGATGAGGGGAAATGGAAGAAAGCATAGGGGGCATAAATGTGGGCTGAAAGACTTTACTTCGGGTGGTGAGTGCAGAATGCAGTATGCAGATCATGTTATTGAGTTGCAACTTAAAACTTCTATGGGTTCATTAAACAAGGTCACTCCAACAAATTCGATAAGGAAAAAAAATAGTTTCATATACCAGGGTATGAGCACAGCACATGAAAGGCAAACAGGTATTTATTTAGTCTATGTACATAACATTTTTACTGATGGAACATGTCAAAAGAGGTTTGCGAAGTTTCATGCTGGAGATTTCTCCATAGACAATACTCCACAGTTGGATAGTTGAAGTTGATAGTGATCAAATTGAGACACTAAGTGAGAACAATCACTGTTATACCACACAGGAGATAACTGACACACTCAAAATATCCAAATCAATAAAGTTATTGGTAAAAATTTTAAAAAATTATAATTAATTATATATAATATTTTTCCCATGGAGCCAAAACATTTTATTTGTAATTGACTCTCTTTTGTAACAACTTGAGATTTAATTCACATGCCATACAATTCACACATGCAAAGTATACAACTAAGTGATTTGTTTTTTAGTATATTCAGAGATGCCACAATTATCACAATCAATTGCACACTATTTTATCACCCCAAAAAGGAACCTAAACCCTCTGGCCATCATTTCAACTCATCCTGCAAACCTGAGCCCTAAACCACTGTTAATCTAGTTTCTCTACATAGATTTGACTATTCTGGATATTTTATGTAAATGAAATAACATATATGGCCTTTTCTGTCTGACTTCTTTCACTTAGCATAATGTTTTCAAGGTTTCTTCATGTTGTAGCCTATATTATTCATTATATTTTTATTGGCAAATATTCCATTGTATTTTTATGACACATTTTGTTTGTGGATTTATTAGTTGATCAACATTTGGATTGTTTTCATTTTTGGCTAGTATGAAAATGCTATAAACATTTGTTTACAAGTTTTTACATAAACACATGTTCTCGTTTCTCTTGGGTATATACCTAACAGTGGCTGGGTCGATATGGTAACCATGTTTAGCATTTTTGCTAAACTGTTTTCCCAAAGAGCCATACCATTTTACAATCCCACAGCAGTTTATGAAGGTTCCAATTTCTCTATATCCTCACCAGCACTGTTACTTTTTTATTAGAACTATCCTGATGAGTGTGAAGTGGTATCTCATTGTGAGTTTGATTCACATTTCTTTGACAACTAGTAATGTTGAGCATCATTTTATGCACTTGTTGGCTTTTTGTTTATCTTCTTAGGAGAACTGTCAACTTAGAACCTTTGTTCATTTCTTTACATTGGGATCTTTCTTTTTTTATTGGAGTATAGTAGTTTTTTTATGTATTCTAAATACAAGTTACTCCCTTTCCTGATACATGATTTGCAAAATTTTCCCTCATTCTATAAATTGTCTTTTTGCTTATTTGATGGTATGCTTGGAAGCACAAGAGCTTTTAATTCCGTTGATGTCCAATTTATCTATTTTTTCTTTTGTTGTTTGTGCTTTTGTTATCATTTCTTTAAGAAACTGTTGCCATAAAACCAAGATCATAAAGTTTTACATCTCTAATTTTTACTAAAAGTTTATAGTGTTTGCTCTTACAGTTAAGCCCTTGGTCCACTTTAATTTTTATATGTGCTGTGAGATAAAGGCCCACTTCAGTCCTCCACATGTGAGTATTCAGTTGTCCCAGCACCCTCTGGTGAAAAGACCATTTTCAGCTAGCAAATTGTGTTAGCACCCTTTTCAAAAATCAGTCGACTATAAGTGTGAAGGCTATTTCTGGACTGTCAGTCTAGTCGTATAAGTTTGGAAGTATTCCTTCCCCTCTAATTTTTTGGAATAATTTGAGAATGATAGGTGTTAACTCTTAGATTATTGGCAGAATTCACCTGGAAAGCCATATGATCCTGTACTTTGTCTTTGGGAAATTTTTAAATGACTGATTCAATTGTATTAGTTGAAATAAAGTCTATTCAGATTTTCTATTTCTTCATTATTCAGTCTTGGGTGTATGGTCCTAAATATTTATCCATTTCCTCTAGGCTTTTCAATTTGTTGGCATATAATTGTAGGAGTCTCTTATGATCCTTTATATTTCTGTGGTGTTGAGAAAATATTTCCCATTTAAAAAGATGAAACTTCATCTGTTGAGTATAGGAAAATACATTCTTATAGGAAAACAATTGCACAATAAATTAACAAATAGCACAATCATTATCACTCTTACATACACATGAAAAAATACATTATAGAATTATTAAAGTTCTCTGGTAATTACTGGCATACCCTGTTCCAAATATTTTCATATAAAAAAAGATTTATCTTTCAAAACACATTGTAGTGACTTAATCAAAACATATGTTTTATAGTTTAAATAGCACGTAGCAAACATATTTGTGGCACTAATGTTCATAACTGTGTTGTGTAGGAAGATAAAAATAAAATACAATTCTTAATTAAGATTTGATTGTACTCTGTGTTGTGTAGATAATGCCTTCTGCTTTAATTTGCTCCAGTATTGGTCCATAGATCTGCTTTGAAAAAGGTCCAATCAGGCCTTTAGCTTGAATTTCACCTGAAAGAAAAAAATTTATAGTTGCCATTTTAAAGGTGGTATTAAAGGTTAATTTCTACAGCAAGTCTCCACATAGCATTAAACTCAGAGTCAATCCATTGTTGGAGGCCTAACCATTTTTAAAATACCTGTTCAACACCCCCTGCTAAATTATTACTTAATCAATACTTTGCAAAAAAGGGGGGGAGGGTTAATTTTATATTGAAAAACAATCTGGTCTTAAGAACAGGGTCACAATTTTTATACTTAACTGCATTAACTCTTGTTAAGATGATTAGATAATAAAGTATATTAAGAAAGTAAAGTAAATCAAACTGCTTTTTTTTTGCCAATGTCATTTTATTTAAAAGCATAACACCAACAGAATGAATTAGACACCATCTGGTTTTTTGGGCACATATATCTGCTACGATTGCTGAACCAGTAAGTCTGGACACATTCCTGAAACGCCATTATGACCTCTTCATACATCACTTCACCACTCTGGTTCCTCAGTAATTAAGTACATGTTTTAATTTGATATTAGCTGATATGTAGTATGTTTTCTTGTTACTTGATATTAATATCATTTGATGTCTTCTACATTTCTCACACTTTCACAAGGGCCAAATGGAGTATTATACTCAGAGGTAATGCTTGTTTGAACATATATGTAATCATAAGGGAAGAATGGAGAGTTAAAATTTGAATTTATTTTGTTCAAAATATTTATTGAGTCCTGATAATATCCTGAGATATAAAGATTGATAAAAATGGCTTTAAAAAATAATGTGTTCCAGGCAAAAATAAAATAAAAAATGGTTTCCTTTTCTGAAAACTAGAAGTAAATACCCGCCGCTATTTCAGTGTTTCCACCCCCAGAATATGAATAAACAAGGAAAGAAAGGGAGTTAACATGTGTGTGGCAGGAGCTTTATGTATTGTTTCACTTCAGTGTCACAACCACCCTGTGAATTAGAGATGACATTTCCCAATTTAAAGATGAGGGAACTCTGGCTCAGAGATGCTGAGCAGCTTGTACCTCATCACTCAGCTGTCTTGTGACTGAGCTGGGACACAGAGCAGGTCTGAAGCCCTTGACTTTTATTCACCACAGAGTGATCTCCCAGTCATTTAGCACCTGGATCTTCTGATATGGCTCACTTTTATTTATTTGTTTGTTTTTCTCTTTTATTAAATTTACTGGGATAGTGTTGGTTAATAAAATTATATCAGTTTCAGGTATAAAATTCTATAATGCATCACCTGCATATTGTATTGTACATTCAAGTCTCTTTCTACCATCATTTATTCTCCCATACTCTCTTCTCCCTTCCCCAACTCCTACTGAGATGGCTCACATCTAGTGAATGTCAGTGTTATACTCAAGAATAATTATTTGATGTCCAGGCACTCGATGACCTGGAGATGATAAGACAAAGGAACTTACCATCAAGCAACATTTTGGCTGCCATAGCAGTGGGTAACCCCACAGTTTTAGCCATGGCTGAAAAGCCATTCACATCTCCATAAACCACAAGATCAATAGTTTTACTTTCCAAATGTCCAGAAGGATGTCTAATTCCAAAACTGTCTCTCATCACAATCATATCTTTCTCCCCAGGACCTTGAAAAAAAAACAGATGTTTTAAAATGTCATCATCATTACAACTCCAACATCCTATTTCATTTCCTGCTGCTGCCTTTTTGCTTTCACAAGTTTCCCTCCCATTGTATATGGCCCTTTAGGCAATGATCTATACTGATTTTTAGCTCAAAGACCAACTGAAAAACTCAAGGAATTATAACTCCAATCATGCTCTTCTATCCAAGTTGCTATCATGACAGCCTGACCACAGACACGCAAGCCCAAGTTCATTGTTAGTTGATAGTTCTTTCATTCTTCCTTCTGCAAACATAACCCAGTGTTCTTTCCCTCATATTGTACCCAGCCCTCCACTTCTACTGCTTGGCTCCAGCCCTCCAATCTAATTTGCTAGTTGTACTAACAAATTGTTGTACTAACTATTGTTAGTTGTACTAACAATATCTCATGTTTTTTTCTTCTGGGACATTTTGTTAATAGCCCATGGCCTACCATAGGAGAGTTTCATGGCCAAATGCTTGGAAAGGGCATCCACCACAGATTCTGCCCGAGGGACTTGTTCATCCCCAAGTAATCCCAACCTGAGAAGCACAAGAGGTAGTTGCATTAGTTCAAATCCTGTACATGTTCTCACTTGGGAAGCAGAAGGGAACACTCATTGCATTTACTCTTCAAGAGTAGAATGACAATATGATAGCTCAAGTTATAGGACCCTCCTCAACTGTAAAATAACAATAGTAATAGTAATGTTTTAACCTGTAGAATCATCCCCAGACTCTCTGAGAAAGTACTCTCTGGAGCAAAACTGATACATTGGAACACTATTGGAGTCCACGGTGTTCTAATGAGCTTAACCAACAGGCTAGTTCTCCCACATTAAGGATATCAACAAAATGTGCCAGTCATGTGAATGAGTGTTTTAAAATGGTTGGGAAAAGACTGGGTAAATGTCCTACAGGAGAAAAAAACCCACCTTTCTTGGGAATTGAGTAGTAAAGTGTCTCCAGTATTTCCCAAGTTATAATTGCCATTGAATTTCTCTATTTCATCCCCACATGAAATCATATATGGTAATATCTCCACAACAGTAGAACAGCAAATTAATAAAAGACAGCATAAAATGTTTGGTTCTGTTTTGACCTTTATTTGATGAAAAAGGACTAAATAATTAAAATAATACAATATTTTGCTTTAAACTGATGGGCGGGTACCTACCTTTCAGCAGCCTCCAGCTGGGTACTATCTCCTCCTAGCTTCTTAAGGACAACTTCCCTAAGCACATCATGCTTGGAGAATGGTGAAATTCCAACTAGATCACAAAGGAGCTCCTTCTGGTTAGAAAAATGAAAATAAAAATTCTAAGTTCCTAATAAAATAAGTAAGTAGAGAAAGTTTTTATTCAGACATTGGACATAAAATGGACTGCAAATTAAATTAGAAGCTTACAAATTATAACTCATACATATGCATACACATGTGTCTGCACATTTACACATCAGTAAATGCATGATATTCCAGAATAATAGTTCAGCAACAAAAATGGGCCATAACATTAAATCAATACTAAACAGATGGCATCATATTAACATCATACTTTCTGCCTTTTCTCTGTATCACTTTTTCACCCATTCTCCCTCACCCTCCAGCAGTCCATTTTAGCCAGGATAAAGTGGAAGGGGATGATTGCCATGGTTGCTAGCAGCAACCAGAGTTCTTTTGTAGGTTCAAGAGATGAGAAAGACCTTGCAGATAATAAAATCTCAAAAGGAAACTTAGGAGTCACATCAGAAGAATGGCAGCATGAGAGATCCCCTTGGTCTCTCCTCTTGAACTCTCAACAACTTGAACAGCTACAACCTAACAAAGGATTCTCTGCTCAACCCATAAACACATCTGAGATATCTGGACATTTAAACATCTAAAAGTAAGCAAGTAAGAATGAAAGGGGGAGGTGAGAAGGGAAAAGGGCTAAGATGATCCACGGATGCAGCCCTACAGCCAGAGAAAAAATCTGGTTGTGGCTAGCATTCCCTTCAGCTGGGAGGGGCAAAGAGATCTTACTGGCACTCCCACAAGTGCAAGCAGTACAAGCTACTATTGAGCCCAGAGATTTAGGCAAGGACACAGCACAGAAGTGCATCTGTCAGGTTGTCAGCATTCCAGACAAAGAAACAAAGCCACTACGCCCTTCCACCCCTGTAGCCTCTCAGAGCTTCCCTCCCTTCTCCCTTGGTGTCAGGTTATGAACAATTATTTGCAAACCTGAGAAATTGTACTACAGAAAAATCATATTTTTCTGTGCACAAAGGGTGCAACTGTGAACAGTTCCAGGGTTGGAACACAGGGGGACCCCAAGAGGTCCAAGGTGGCTATTACCAAGAGGGAAAAAAAAAACAAGGAAGCTGGTTGATTTCCTCAGTGCAAATCACACAGATGCATTGTAGTTACAGTGATGGCAGCATCTAGCTACAAAGATGCACTGGGATTTCACAGAGCTAAAAATCTTGTGATTCAGCACCACTTGCTGAAAAAGCAGAGAAAGACCTCTTTGTTTCAATCTTCTAAAGAATTGCCACTTTTACACAAATGTCTAGGCAGAGAAGGAATCCATCTAATACCAAGAAATAGCCAAGGTAGTGAGGCAGCTAAGAAAGAAAATGAACCTCCAGAAAACATACCTAAACACATAGAAATATGTGATGTAAATGACACAGAATTTAAGATTGCAGTTCTGAAAATACTTGATAATATGTGACAAAATACATACAGGCAATTTAAAAAAATATTTTATTTATTTATTTTTTAGAGAGAAGGAAAAGGAAGAAGAAAGAGAGGGAGGGAAATATCAATGTGTGGTTGCCCCTCAATTGCCCCCAACTAGGGGTCTGGCCCACAACCCAGTCATGTGCCCTGACTGGGAATCAAACTGGCAAACCTTTGGTTTGCAGGCCCATGTTCAATCCACAGAGCTACACCAGCCAGGGCCAGACAGGCAATTTAATGCACTCAAAAACAAATTAATGAACAAAACAAGCACTTTACCAAAGAGATTGTAACTTTAAAAATAAACCAAAAAGTAATTCTGTAAATGAAAAACCCAATAAAAGAGATGAAAAATCAACTAGCAACCATAGGAAATAGCTGGAGGAAATAATTAGTGATATATCAAAGACAGGAATCTAGAAATGATGCAGAGGGTTAAAATAGAGAGACTTGAGGATTAAAAAAAATGAAAGAACTTCTAAAATAACTATCTCACTCCATCAGAAAACACAATATAAGACTAATAGGCATGTCAGAAAAAGAAGAGAGAGAGAAGGAACAAAGAGCGTATTCAAACAAATAGATAATGAGACATTCCCAAACTTATGGAAAGAGATAGATTTTCAAATCCAAGAAGCAAATACAACACCTGGTTACTCTAATCCCAAGAGGCCCTCTTCAAGGTACATTGTATTAAAACTGTAAAATATTAGTGACAAAAAAGAATTCTCAAGGCAGCCAGAGAAATGAAGAAAATAATCTATAAAACAATTCCCATTATGTTATCACCTGTCTTCTCAGCAGAAACTTTACAAGCCAGAAGGGAGTAGAACCACATATTCAAACTGCTGAAAGAGAGAAATTACCATCCAAGAATTATATATCCAGCAAAGTTATCCTTTAGATATGAAGGAGAAATAAGGACTTTCTACACATACAAAAGCTGAGAGAATTTATCACCAGAAGATCTCCACTATGGGAAGCACTTAGGTTATTCTCCTGAAAACAAAGAACAAAAGGTAACAAAAATATGAGTAAGATCAAAAACAAACATCACAAAAAAGGACAATGTGTGACAACAAAAGCATAAAAGGGTGAGAGATAAGTCTGAATTTGCAAAGGAGGATGGAGATCAGATGCATTCAAGAGAAAAAAAAAACAAAAACTCCTGAATCTGTGCAACTTTCTTCTTCATAAACCTAATTGTAACCACACACAAAAACCCAAAAGTGAGATACATTGCCTTAAAAAAAAAGAGGTAAGAAATATGTAATACCACCAACACAGCAACAATAGATGGAAACACAAAGGGAAAGAATCAACTGAGGCACAGAGCTACCAGAAAACAAAAGATAAAAATGGCTACATGAAATCCTCACACTTCAATAATTACCCAAAATGTAAATATACTGAATTCACCAATAAAGGGATACAGAGTAGAAAAATGGATCAAAAAACAAACCCAAACATATTCTGCCTTCAGGAGACACAACTTAGCTGCAAAGACAAAGTTAGACTCAAAGAGAAAAGGTGGAAAATGATTCTACAAGCACATAATATCCTCAGAAAAGTGGGTGTAGCCATACTTATACCAGACAAAATAGATTTCAAGATAAAGGTAACAAGAGACAAATATGGACATTTTATAATGATAAAAAGAACACAACATCAAGAAGACATAACACTTCTTAATATATGCACTCAATCGGGAAGCACCAAAAAATATAAGGCAACTACTAACAGAACTAAAGAGAGATAAAAATAAGAACATAATGACAATTGGGGATCTTAGTACTCCAATGACAGCCCTAGATAGATCATCCAAACAGAATATCAATAAATAAATATCAGCCTTAAATCACACATTAGAACAAATGTACATAATTGGCATTCACAGAACATTTTATGCCAGAACATTAGATTATACATTCTTCTCCAGTGAACATACCACATTCTCAAGAATAGACCATGTGTTGGGTCACAAAAGTAACTTCAATAAATTCAAGAAAATTGAAAATATACCAAACATATTCTCTGACCACATGCTTTGATATAAAAATTCAACTGCAAAAAATATATAAATAAACCCACCAGTATGTGGAAATTAAAGAACACTCTGCTAAAAAATGATGGATCAAAAAGAAATTAAAAGTGAGCTCAAGAGATAGAGACAAATGAGAATGACAATACAACATATCTAAACTTCTGAAATGAAGCAAAAGCAGTAATAGGAAGGAAGTTTATATCATTACAAGCCTATCTCAAGAAACAAGAGAAATCTCAAGTAAACAACCTAACATTACATCTTAAAGAACTGGAAAATGAAGAACAAAAGCAACTCAAAGTTAGCAGAATAAAAGAATTAATAAAAATTAATTTGTTATTTAAGTTCAGAATCGAATAAAATAGGAAACAAAAAGACTATACAATACATTAATACAACAAAGAGCTAGTTCTTTTAAAATATTGAAAGATTAATAAAATTTACAACCCCCTGGCTAGACTTACTAAAGAAAAAATACTCATAAACAAAAACAGAAATGAAGTTACCACAGATATCACAAATATACAAAGAATTAAACTAAAACACTATGAGAGACTATATGCAATCAAGTTTAACCTAGAAAAATTGAATAAGGTCCTAAAAATATATAAACTTACTAGACTGAACCATGAAGAATTAGAAAATCTAAATAGAGTAATAAACAGTGAGGAAATTGAAACAACTATCAAAAACCTCCCCAAAATAAAAGCCCAGGATCAGATGGCTTCACCAGTGAATTCTACCAAACATTAAAAGAATATTAAAATCTATCCTTCTCAAATTATTCCAAAAAACCGAAGACACAATGCTTCCTAACACATTTTATGAGGCCAACATAACCCTAATACCAAAATGCGGCAAAGAGAACAAAAAAGAAAAGAAAATTATAGTTAAATATCTCTTTTGAATATAGATGCAAAAATCCTAAGGAAAATACTAGCAAATTGAATACAACAATAAAGTCAAACATAATACATCATGATCAAGTGGGGTTCATTCCAGGGACAGGAGATGGTGTAATATATGTGAATCAATCAAAGTAGTACAGCATATTAACAAAACAAAAATTAAAATCATATGATCTTATCAATAGATGCAGAAGAAGGATTTGATAAGATTCAACATTTATTTATGACTAAAACACCCAATAAAATGGGTATGGAAAGAAAGAACCTCAACATAGTAAAGGCTATATTATAACAAACCTTCAGCCAGTGTTATTTTGGATGGTAAAAAACTGAAAGTTTTTCCTCTAAAATCAGGAATAAGACAAAGATGACTGTTCTCACCACTTTTATTCAACACAGTTCTCAAATTCCTAGCCAGAGCAATAAGCCAAGAAAAACAAATAAAATTATACAAATTGAGATGGTAAAAGTGTTACTTTTGGCAAAGTACATAATTTTGTACATAGAAAACCCCAAAGACTCAACTGAAAAACAATTAAAAATAAACAAACACAGTAAAGTTGCAGGATGCAAAATCGATATACAAAAATCCACTGCTTTCCTATTTACTAACAATTAAACTTCTGAAAAATAAATAAAAAATAATTACTTTTGCAATTGCAGCCACAAAAATAAAATACCTAGCAATAAACTTACCAAAGGATGTGTAGGACCTATATACTGAACACTACAAAAAGTTATTCAAAGAGATTTTAAAAGACACAATGAAATAGAAAGATATTTTGTGTTCATTATTTGGAAGAATCAACATAGTTAAAATGGCTATGTTATCCAAAGCAATATACAGATTTGATGCAATAGCCATCAAAAATGACATCCCAATGTCATTTTTTAAAGAAATCTTTTATTTTAATTGTTGTTCAAGTATAGTTTCTGTCTTTTAGTCCCATCCCAGCCCATGCCCCATTCCTCCTCATCTCCCTTCCATTTCCGCTCCACCCTCTAGTTTTTGTCCATGTGTCCTTTATACTTGTTCCTGTAAACCCTTCACCTTTTCCCCTGAAATTCCCTCCCTTCTCTCCTTTGGTCACTGTCAGCCTGTTCTTTATCTCAGTGTCTTTGGTTATATTTTGCTTGCTTGTTTGTTTTGTTGTTTAGCTTCCTGTTAAATCTGATCATATGGTATTCGTCTTTCACTGTCTGGCTCATTTCACTTAGCATAATGCTTTCCAGTTCCATCTATGGTGTTGCAAAGGGTAGGAGCTCCTTCTCTCTTTCTGCTGCATAGAATTCCATTGTATAAATGTACCATAGTTTTTTGATCCATTCATTTACTGATGAGCACCTAGGCTGCTTCCAACACTACTACTGGGATTATATCCTAAGAACCCTGAAACACCAATCCAAGAGAATCTATGCACCCCAATGCTCATAGCAGTACAATTTCCAATGTCATTTTTTAAAGAAATAGAACAAAAAATTATCATATAAAAAGATTTATACGGTACCATAAGTGATCCCAAATAGCCACAGCAATCCCCCCCAAAAAAAGAGTGATGCTGAAGATATTATACTGCCTGGCTAAAAATTAAACTACAGAGAAACAATAATCAAAACAGCATGGAATTGACAGAAAAACAGAGACACTGACCAATGGAACAATGAGAGCCAAGAAAGAAAACTTTAGGTATATGGGCAAATAATTTTTGACAAAGGAGCCAAAAACTAACAATGGAGATAAGGAAGCATCTTCAATAAATGATTCTGGGAAAACTGGAAAGCCACATGCAAAAGAATAAAACAAGATTACAGTTTGTCCCTGTGTATAAAAATTAATTCAAAATGGATGAAATAGCAAAATATAAGATCTGAAACAACACATTACATAGAAAAAAAGGCACTGAACATATGGATCTCGGTTATAGAGAACATTTTATGAATTTGACCCCAAAGGCAAAAGTATGGCAAAAATAAATGAATGGGACTATATTAAATAAAAAGTTTCTACACAGCAAAAGAAACCACCAATGAAACAAAAATGCAACCAATAAAATAGGAGATGATATTTGCAAACAACAGCTCCAACAAAGTGTTAATATTCAAAATAAAGAACTCATAAAAATTGACACCAAACAAACAAACAATCTGATTAAAAAATAGGCAGAGGACCTGAATGAGACACATTTCCTAAGAGGACATACAAACAGCCAACAAACATGAAGAAAATGTTCAGCATTGCTGGCTAATAGGGAAAATTCAAATCAAAACAATGAGATACCACCTCACATGTATTAGAATTGTTACCTTCAACAATACAGGTAACAATGGGTGTTTAAAATGTGGATAAAAAGGAACCCTCATTCCCCACTGCTGGGAATGTGAACTGGTACAGCCAACATGAAAATTATATGGCAGTTCCTGAAAAAATAAGAATAGGGTTATCATAGGACCCCCACAATCTTTCTTCTGGGGATCTACACAAAAAATTCAAAGACATGTATTTGCAAAGATATATGCACCCCTATGTTTTGCAGCATTATTCACAGTGGCCAAGACATGGGAACAACCAAAGTGTCCACAATAGAAGATTGAATTAATGAGATATGGTACATGTATATTATGGAATACTACTCAGTCATAAAAAAAGATGAAATACTGCCATTTGTAACAACATGGATGGATCTTGAGAATATTATGCTAATCAACATAAGTCAGTTAGAAAAACACTAAGAAACATGATTTCACTCATATGTGGGAGACAAAACTGAAACTCACAGACACAGGCAACAGTATGGTTGTTACCAAAGAACAGGGCACGGTAGAGAGTAAAGGGGAGCAAACACAAGGTGGCTGAAGATGCTTTGACTTTGGGTGGTGGGCACGCAGGCAATATACATGTCAGGTATCGTAGAAACATACACTTGAAATGTATATAACCATAGTGACCAGTGTCATCCAAACAAATTTAATTAAAAAAAAACTCAAAGGAAAAAAAGTTAAAACAGTGATCATAGCTTTTCCTACTTTGTAAACAAGACTTTTTCCAGACTCCCAAGGAAAAAGTTATGTTCAATTAATGATAATCAATCTGGTTCACAGGTCAAATTGAGTTAACCACATGGCTTTGCAAATAAAAAGTTTTATTGGAACTTGCTCATTTGTTTACATATTGTCTATGGCAGACTTGAGTAGTCTGACAGACACCAAATGACCCAGAAAGTCTAATATATTTTCAATTGGTCTTTTAAAAATAAAGCTTTGCAAAGCACTATTCTAGATGGTAACTACTAAGATACAGGGACCAGCCATAAGAAGCCTTGTACCAGCCTTTCCAATGCAACTGCCTCAGCCCAAAGTTCATCCTATAGATATTTATTCACTTTTGTCTAACAAGCGTATTTATAGAAGGTAAAACTTAGGTTCTAAAATCTTTCAGAAAATAAAAAACTGAATTATAAAGCAACTGACTAGCAAGAAAACCAAAGTTTCTTTGGAAGACAAACTGGGATTAGCAATATTGATTTTTTTCTCCCTGTGATAAATTTCTGACTTTTTTTATTGGAATATGGGGACATTAATTTAAGTTGTATGATCAACTAATAGCAAGTTAACTTCTAGCAGATACTAGAAGATCTACTTTACATTTAGCTCCCAGCCTTCCAAGTCCTTTCCAACCCTGAGCCTCTAGGATATTAATACAACAAAGACATGGGATGAACTCAGAAACTGAAAACTGGAATTACTCATGGTTACAAATGGCCAAGTGAAAGACCTGATGGAATTTGCAGATTAGGGACCCAGTTCTGTGATATCACCGGCAGCTGTCCTGTTACCAGTTTCAGAAGGCCCAAACTTAACTCCTCTCACAGGTCACCACATAGGCCAGAAGCAGAGCCAGAGCCCTGTGCAGACAGCGAGTCCATTCCTGAGGCTGAGGGAGCCAGCAAGTGGTAGAAGTTGCTGAGGGAATAGGTCCGGGGAGCCAGCCTCCATGTTCTCTCCATCTTCCCTCACAGGGAAGGGAGAGGGGACTTGGGACTAAGGGTTTATAGTATGTAGGGTTTCTAGTGTGTAGGGTTTATCCTGTGTGTAGCTGCAGAATGGGTTCTTTTGCTGGTCCAAACCAAAATTCAAACCTGAGTGACATTTCTGCAGAACAGCAGACAACGTGTAATTCTGGGGTCACTCACCCAGGTGAGAGGCTTGGCCTCAGGTCGAAGGGCAGGAAATGCATCTCTGTTTATGAGACCCAATTTCACAAATCCATTCAAGGCTTTGGCATATCCCTGTAATGAGAATAATTAAGCAGTATATTAAAATTTTCTCTTCAAAGAAAAATATTTTTGTTTTTCTTTTTTATTAAATCATTTTTATTGTTATTCTATTACAGTTGTTCCAATTTTTCCCTCTTTGCCCTCCACTGCCCACGCCAACCATGACTCCCACAGTCAATTCCCACACTGTTGTTCATGTCCATTGGTCATTCATCTGTGTTCTTTGTCTAGTAGAGTGTATTGCTTGTTTGTTTTTGTTTTTTGTAAAGAGAGATCTAGCTTTACCAGTTGTTTAGAAAACAGGCTAAAACACTTATTTGCATTGCTTCTGTGGATAAAACCTCCTTCAAGTTCAAAACAAAATCGACAGTGTCACAATTCCCCTGGTTTACATAAGACACCTGTGAAACCTGGGTCTTTGCTTCTGTTTCTGGGTTCATCGAGTGGTATTTTCTGGCAGCATAACAGCAAGTTTCATTTTGCATCATATGCTTTCTGTTCAGCAGGCAGTGTTCGGTAGAGCAGTTGTTCTTTCTCATAATGGAAGCAAGAGCTTGTAAGAATAGCCCCCAAAAGCACATAATCCATTCTAATCATTAAGAGCTCCTATTCTAATGCATGTACAGAGCAGGAAAGAAAAAGGTAGATCAGATAGATTTTTCTAAAATTTCATAACCATGATAAAAATTAGTCATGTGTTCCTCATTGTCAATGGGACAAGTCTGAAGCCCTTGGCAAATTATATAAACCCATCCCAATACACCCCCCAGCCTGACTCAGTCATCGTTATCTCCACCACTTACCATTCTGCAGGCATGCTGTGCTCTGCCAGAGGCCTGGGCCTCTGAGCGTGCCGCCCCTGTGTCTGGAATGTGGGAGCCAGTGTTCCTCACCAGTGAAATGTTTACTTCCCTGCCAGGACCCAGCACAGCATAGCTACTGAGCCCCCTATGGGAATGGGCACTGAGTTTTTCTCTGTATTCCAGCAGTACTTTGTACATATTTTTGTTATGGGACTTGACACAAATTGTTATCGTCTATTAAGCTGCTGGACTGTAAATATAAAAAGTGTGTGTGTGAGTGTGTGTCCCCTTTATCCCCATGCCCTTGCCCAATTATCCATCATTCCAGTTAGCAGAAAGAGAACAAATGACAGGATGAATAGATTCTGAATGATGATGTAGTGAATGAAGACCATAAGGGTATGTTCTCCTGTGAGCAAATTGGGTGAGGAGGGTGAAATAAGGAACTTTGTATCTGCTGCAATTACAGAGACAGAGAGAGACCAAGAGAGGTGGATGAGGTAGAGCAGAAAGAGAAAGAAAAAACATGTAAAATTATTTTAAGAAGAAATAAATTTATTAACACGTGCATTTCTGTGGTCATTGGATAATTCACCAGTTAATGTGCGGCCAACTAGTAATTTTCACATTCTGAAAGGTTGTGTGATTCAAACTGCTCAAAGGTTACTAATGAAACAATTCCCATTTATGTGCTTTAATCCATTGTAAATATACTTCAAGGAGGAGAAACAAAAAGCAAACCACAAGCTTGCTTCCAGAATCTGATTAGTGCCAGCAATTCCTTCATCCAGCATATCAAATACTGAGACTTTTCTGAGCTATTTCTTAATCTGAAGAATATATTTTATGCCAACCTCTAGAAATGAATTTATTGTACATATTCATTCATTAATGAGCACTGAGAAAATTTCTGCCATGTGTCAGAAAATGCCATCTGCACAGAGATGAAAAATGCAGTCTCCACCCATGAGGAAACTGCCGGCCAGTAGAAAAGTCAGGTAAGTCAAATGAAAAAAAAAGTGCCTGGCACATAGTGAGCAAAGCTGCATGACCAGTGTTGGCTACACTGCGGTAGAACATTACAGTGCTGTGACAGAGGTAGACACAGGGCTACGGGAGCTCAGAGGAGGGGACACTCACACAGATGTGGGGGAGGGGACTCAAGGAGAAGAAGTTAGGATCCCAAGCTGAGTCTGCAAGAACAATCAGGTGACAGGCAGGTACAGGAGACTAACCAAGGTGTCCCTGTCACATTGGAATGACAGTGTGTCATCTCTAATACTGGAAAGAATAGTCAGGCTGTGAAAGGGTTGCTGACATTGGTCAGGGTGGTGGCCCTCATGAGTCTGAACACCGTGACATTTCATCCCTCAGGGTTCTGTGGGGTGGCTCTCAGCCATACACTCAAGCACTTGGTTCAATTTTTAAATATCTTAAAAATCCTCTGTTGCTAGTTCTATAAGATTTTAAAGAGACTGTAGATAAAGCTAGCACAACATCCTAATTCCTGCAGACCTTCCCCCCAAAAGTTACTACTTATATTCTTAGAAAAAACTGAAGAAGCAGAATCGAGAAATGCGCCAGAGCTGGGGCTGCTTTGGCTTCAGTTCAGACTAGATTTCCTGTTGTGCCTGAAGGCATGTGCAGCACCGCACTTTCACAGTTGATCAGCTCAGGCATCTCGGCTGAATCCTGGACTGTGTGGACATCACATTCACAACAGGACACACCTGCCCTCCAGGGGCTTAAAAATCTATTTCAGGGGACAAGAAATATATACATATAATCTACCTAGAAATTCTAGCAGTAAATGCTAAGTGCCAGCAAATGCAACAGAAGCTCTGAAGAGTAAGAAATATTATATAGTGGTTGTCATCTCCTTAAGAATAAACCAGTGTCTGACATGGAGAAACAGACAAACCAGAAGCCAGTCTCCATGTGCCGGCACCATGGGAATGACCTCTGTTCTTTCATTAACTTTCTCGGTTATTCCCTTTCACACACACGTGCCTAACACCACCAGTACTGCCTGACTCCTGGTGCCCAGCTCACCCAGGGAAGGGGCAGGAAACGTCCTGTATGATGGAGTTGTGCTTTGAAATAACATGGTATGGAAAGCCTCACAGGCATGGGGCAGTTTGTCCCTAAAAGCTTCCAGAGGAGCCAACCCTGCCCAAACTTTAATCTCATACTTCTGAGCTCCTCACTGATGAGAAAATACATTTCTGTGGTTTGAAGCCACCCAGTTTGTATCAATTTGCTATAAACACTCTGGGAGACTCTTTCACTGATTGTCTTGGTCCGGTCATACTTGTAACTTCTCTTTGTGATTAATAAGTGTGTAGTTGACATTTGTATTTATGCTTCTAGAATCTTTACCTCATTTTGTGGTAAAAAGATGTTGCTTTGAGAAAAGTGATGCTGAATATATCTTCAGCTTTAGGGACAGAAACAGAGGACAAAGCTGATTGGCACATTTTGAACCCACTGATCTCTTGGGATTAAAAAAAAACTACATTTTTACCTACAAAGAAGATGCACTTTTTCATTCTCACTGGAATGAAAACGTAAGTGGTTGGAGATGCTACGACCACCCTGCCACCGTGGGAGCCTAGGATTGCAGCTATTACTTGAAGGAAGGGCTGAGAAATGAAGAGGGACCAAGTCCTAGTGAGGTGACTTGACACCCCTCCAAATAAACTCATTACACTGAAGCTGGTCCTCTATCCGTCCCCACAGCTCATGAGTCAAGAATTCCCTTTTGTTCAAATCATTTTGACTTGTCTCCTAATATTTTTTTAATTAAGAGTTTTGAGGAAACAGACTCCAACCTGGCGTATCATATTCATTAATTATTTATTTAATTTTTAGGGAGAGAGGAAGCAGGGAGAGAGAAATATCAGTGTGAGAAAGAAATATAGATCGACCACCTCCTGTACACACGTTGACCAGGATCAGAGATGGAAGCCACAACCTAGGAATGTGCCGAATCAGGAATCAAACCCACAGCTTTCTGATCCATCAAGGTAAGAGAGCTGCAGGTGTAGAGGGGCTAGGGTGAGGGCAGGAGACAAGGACACTCCAGCCGACTGAGCCACCAGGCCAGAGCCTAATTGTTTTAAACTGAGAAAAATAATCACTTACACCAAAACAGGCATATGTTTCATCTAAAATACAGCCACTTACCTTATATCTCAGTGTCCCCCGCAACAAAGTGTGAGCAGACTGAATGCCGTAAAGCTCAGCATATTTTGTACTGTCTCTGTTGGGATAGCCTTCCAGATTTAATCCCGGGAAATAATCCATGGGAGTGACTGCATCGAGAAAGGAGATGCCCCCGGCAACGTTCACCACCTGAGGAGCGTTGAAAAGGCACACCGTGGTTACAACACCGTGTTCCCCTCAGGTTTCTCCATGTTGTTGGCATAATAGAGAAATCAAAGTTTTAAAATAAAGCAATAAAGGATTTGTAAACAACTTTTTTACTGAAACTACTCATCAATATTCCATACTCAAGCTTTTCTGCTAGTATAATTCACAAGGCTATCATGCTCCCAAGCTTTATGTTATTTTTTTAATTTTTAATTTTTATTAAATCTGAGGTAATAATTGGTAAATAACAGTATATAAATTTCAGATTTATAACATTATATTTCAAAATCCATATCCTCCATTGCATGTGTACCAGCAAAAATCTAGTTTTATTCCGCTAGCACAGATATTAAGCCTTTTATCCAATCCACCCTCCCCTCTTCTCTCAAACTTGAAAACCTGACTTAAGCATTTTGTTTTGTACTAAGATCTTGTTTTCTCTATTTTTTCTTGGTGCTGGATAAGATGGAACTGAATTATATCCCAGTAGAGTTTTTTTAAAAAAACAAACAATCATCTAAAAGCGACAAATAATGATTTAAATGGCTTCTGTGCTCAAAGAGCAATGGCAATATTCTCACTGCTCTTTTTCTTACTCATACCCCCTGCTGAGTCCACATCAGGCGCCAGCCCTGCACTTGGATTCACACAGCTAGCATTTACCGAACAGCTATCTGTGTGCCCGGATCCCACTCGCTGCTGAGGGAATAAGAATGATGAATAGCATACAGTTCCTGCCTCCATTCACCCCTTCATTCATTTAACAAGCATTTCCTGAATGTCTGTGCAGTGCCAGGAGCTGTGCTGGCACAGTTATAAGGACCACACAGCCTAGACTAGTCGACCTACAGTGCACTTGGGGGACAACCAGTGGAAGAGGTGACCCCTCACAGGAAAGGCAATGCTATGAACATACAGTGAAACCAAAAAGTGCTACCCATAAATCTTACTGCTGGGAAGAAGTTAAATCCCTGATTCCCAAGCTGTTTTGATTTCTCATTAATCCTCTTACCCACACCCTTCCCCTTAGCACACACTTGAAATGCAGTGAAGCATTTTTTAAAACGTTTGGTTAAGGAACTGAGTTTTTCTTTTAGCTGGTGAAGTATATGATCATCTGTGAGATAACGGAAGGTTGGGGCTGAGATTCCAGGGCGAGGGTGTGACTGCTGGTATAACTGGATTTTGTCCCACTTGTACTGTGGGAAACAATCTCTTGCTCACATATGGACAATAGCACAGCACCACCTGGCACCAGGGAGCCATCAATGTGCCTTCAGGTGGATTCTGAGGGATTTGCCCTAAGGAATATCCAGCTAAACTTAAGGATTTCACAGTTTATCTGCAGACAGGTTCTGCACATGCCTTGGTATGAGAAACAAAATGGAAATGCATGTCCTCCACAGCTGAAGACCCAGAAAGAACCGAGCTACGCTGACTGTAGAGGCAGGCCTCACTCTGCAGAATGCCCAACACCATCTAAAATTCCAGAAGTGAGAATTAAAGGAAGGGAGGAATGCTTTTTATTTAAAGTTCCTATGAAATTCTGGACTGCATGGTAACCATTTCTGCACTCTTTCTTTAAAACAAATTTCTTCTATCAGGATTACAAATTTTAAAGAAAAATCAATTAAGAAGGTACTCGTTAACCTTTAGGGCCTCCACACTTACTCATTTCTATAACCTATGGCAATTAAAAAAAAACTCAGTACAGACCACTATACTTCAGCAATTAACTAGTCAGAAATAAATCAATCAGTGCCAAAGTCTACCATGAGATCCTTGTGAACAAAACACAGGAATGTAAATTGCATGGTAATGATCCTTTAGTGAGATTGAAAGATGCTGAAGCAACTTGACCCCAAAAGCACTGGGTAATTATTACCATTTGATATCAACTCAGAGTTTTATTTCTAGTGGCATAGTATGCACTTCATTAATAAGCCCTGTCTTGTTTAATATTTTATTAATGACTTGGATGAAGACAGAAAGGCAGATTCCTCTATTTGGCAGAGAATAGGCATTTTCTCTGACTTGGCAATGCTCACATGAAAGACCCTCTCCCAGCAGAAATAGTAGCTCACTACCTACTGCTCTTGCTGTGTGCTCTACGTCCAATTCTTTTTTATTTATACACACATGTCTCCCAACCAATGAGAACTGATGATAAGCTCAATTGTTAAACTAACAAAAAATAACACAAGAAATATACAAATAATCATTTACTCACAGTCCACTGTAGGTTAGGTGCTTTTTAGACCTTATCTTTAACCCACACAATAACCCATTTTTCACAGGTGAAAACTGAGGCTGAGTCACCCAGAGGCACAAAAGAACCCAGGTCTACATGACTCAGATGTCCATGTTATTTTTTCTAAACCATATTTATACCCTTAATTGTGCTTATTTCTGGATCAATATCTTAAATATGGTACTGACTGACAAGGTATAGCATTCTAGATTATGCCAGTTTTAGGTCTAAAAATTGCAGCAAGCATGGTTACAGGCAATGGGGAGCAGTGGCAACTCTTTTTCTTTTTTTTTTCAAAAGCATTTGTTTTATTTTATAAACAACTTTATGACAACACTTACAGAAACAGAATTTCCAACAAAGGAGGGGCTGGGTGTGGCCATCAAGGTAAACTTGACTTTCAGGCCAACTTGAAGGCTAGAAAACCTATCTCAAAGCTGTGTTTACAGAACAATTACAGTCCTGACTCAGCTTAAAAGTTAAAGCTGTGACAGAGGTGATAGTGAGGCCCTGCTATGTCATTCCAAGGTGCCACCATTATAGGAAAGTGTCCCATCACTCACAAAGGGGACAGAACTAAGAAAAGACACAATCGGGCCCTGGCTGGTGTAGCTCAGTGGATTGAGCACGGGCCTGCGAACCAGACAATTGTGATTCGATTCCCAGTCAGGGCACATGTCTAGGTTGCAGACCAGTTCCCTGCAGGCCAGTTCCCAGCAGGGGACGCACGAAAGGCAACCATACATTGATGTTTCTCTCCCTCTCTCCTTCCCTTCCCCTCTAAAGATAAATAAATAAAAAATATTTAAATTAATGCTACTTTTAAAAAAAAGAAAAGAAAAGACACAATCACTGTCTCCAGAGATGTGAAAGGAGAGTAAGCATTATCAGAAACAATTAGAAGTTGGAAATAGTAACGGCTGGAAATTATCGCAAGGAGGTACAGCAAGGAGACATATCCTAATTCATAGGCCATTGCCTAAATCGCTGGAAAAGTTTAAGGCTTCAACTTTAAGTAGAAACCAGAGGACTTCTGACTCCTCTTTATGATTCTGTGAATTTGGTAAGACCTGCTCCACTGTCACAGGGGGATGGAGGGAGGCAAACACAAAGGAGGCTTCTGGGTTGCAAGACAGACTGATGCACTTGAATTACTGGGTGAACAATAGAGCATCTGGAAAATTCTTAGACTCAGACAAAGTGTGGGAGTTCAGACAAAAGAATAGTGAATGGGGGCAGGAGTGGTCAGGGAAAGATGCATCCACAAGAGGAAACTGGAGCAGGACTTTGGAAAATGTATCATTTTAGCAAAGAAAAGATTCATGTTTTTTTCCTTTATGCTCTTCACAGAGTCAGGCCAATGAAAAAGTACTTTTTTACAAAAGAAGTTGAGAAAAAAAGGAAAAAATTCAAACTCAACAAGTACAACTTCTGCTGCCTGAATATAAACTCCTGCTTTCCCTGAGCTCACCTCACCATCAATATTTTTAGGCCACTAATATTTGCTAGGGACTTATGACATGCCTGATGAGCTGCTGTTAAGCAGACCATAGTCTACGTGCCCTCATGGAGCCCCACAGCAGGAACCCTGCAGGACTGGTGTCGTGATGTTTGTCTCCTGACGTGGACCCCAAAGCTCAGAGAGAGGAACTCAGGGTTCTAGCGCCCCCCGCCCCCAACTGGTGAGGGCAGAGCTAGAGTGCAAAGCTGGGCCAACAGACACGGAATCCTTTGTCCTTCGGGCTGCGCCCTGCTGACCCTCTCACTGTTACCATCTTTATCACTTACATGGCCTCCTGAAAATAAGCATTTTGCCAAAATGAAGCAAAACTTTTTTCTGCATTTACATGTTAGGCCAGTGTTCTTTCCAGGACAGCAGAGGTAAAAGGGACATCAAGAGACAGGCTGTGGCAGATAAAAGATGTGTGCTTGGTAGAACATCAGACAGGGTTTCTTGCCCAAACCTTCATGATTCACAGAACTGGAGAACTAGATGGAATTTTGGCGCTCACATTATGCATCAGGAGACTGACACCCAGAGGACCTTTACAATTGCCTGGCCTTTGGTGACATTGTCTGGGATGCCACCTCTGGGACCAGAACTCAGGGGTCCCATTTCATACCCTGAAACATCTGAGAGTATCTTCCCAGCATCAAACTGAAATGTCTTGTCTGTTTAGTAGGGTCTTAAGTGGAACTGTGGTCCCCTGGATATACTAAGTCAGTTCTTTTTGGATTCAGCAGCACGTTAGAATCACTTGAGGAGTTGTTAAAGTGCCCACAACTCAGGTGAATCAGAAGCTCTGTGAGTAGGGCCCAGACACTGGGATTTTGTAAACAGCCCCAGTGATTCCAACATGCAGCAAGGCTGTGAGCCACACTGTCCACCAGAGGCTCAGAAGACCACAGCTGCTAACAACATCCACCTTGTTTCTAAAGAAATTTTCACTGTTCTCTTTTGTACAAGAAATACATTTAGATTCACAGATACACTGAGAGTTTATAACACTCCTGTCGGAATAATGCTTTTAAGACACACATGTGATCACATAACTCATCCGTCCCTGCAGGGCCAGGACTAGGGTGAGCAGAGGGAGGTGTTTTCATCACCAAGTGTAAAGAGAATCCCTCAGTCTAGTCACATTCTAGTCACATTTGTTCCCAAGTCTGAGGCTCTCCTTAGGCTAAGAAAACAAACCACAAAGGCAGGCCGATGTGACTTGAACACTGGCTGTGCCATTTGCAACCTCTTTAACTGTCCGTGGCTGTCAACTAAGCTTCTTATGCCCGTTTTCTGCCTTATAAACCTGATAGGCTTGTCATAAAAATCAAATGAAGGCACTGCTTAGCACAGTCAGGAGGGGCAGCCCCCCTGCCAGGCCGGCAGCTTCTTATCCTTCAAGGTCAAGCACATTCTCTTTTCTCTGCTAATTTTCTTCTCTCCATCTTTGTGCCAAGGTCAAATCAATTGTCCTCTCATCTGCACCGTGTGGCACTTCAGCACACCTTAGAACCTCCCTGCAGGATGGTAGCTATCATTCCAGTGTCTGTCTGTCCTGCCATGAGGTGAGTGGTAAAGGGGGCAGGAAGGAATCTGGTTTGTTAGACCTGGGTTTGGACCCCAGCTACATGATAATAACATTCGCTGTATTAAGCAAGTTTCCTTATTATAAAATGATGAAAACAGTACTAAACTCAGAGAATGCTTACATTCTGGTGCACAGCAGCTGGGGAAATAAAAGATCCTTTCCCTGACCCACAAAACCCTCCATTCCAAGAGTCACCCCCATTCCAGCTCTGAATTCTCTGAGGTCAGGAACTCCCTTCAGGAGACAACCTTTGGAGTCTTGCCCCATGGACAGCAGGGACACAGTAGGGACTCAGAAATTGCTTGGCACAATATGACCGGTATTTACACATGCAGAGAGGTTGAGAAATGAGTTTTCCAAATGCAGAAGCAACTTGCAAGAAGAGGAAGAATGAGCACAGGCCATGCTGGGTATGGTGAGGAGACCAAATGGAACAGAAAATACACACTGGGAATCATCAAAAGAATGAGGGTGGAGCCCAAACAGTGTAGCCTGTACTAAAGGGCCTCAGTACCAGGGGAAAAGAGCATGTACTTTCTCAGGCAGTAACTGCACATTTGCATCCAGAGCTTTGATGGGAATGCCTCACCTTTCCATTGAGCAGGTAGGTGGCAGGCTGCATTATGTTCATCAGAACTCCCACTGGACTCCAGCTGAACTTGTACCTCAAAGGGTTGTCTGAATGTTCAGGGGCTGGAAGCCCACCACAGTAGGAAATGTAAGATTCAATCTGTAAAATAAACAATCAATGAATTAGGGAGGACTAACAATAAGGGAGAATAATGTATCTAAGTAATTAATTGAGCTTAATGGTAGGCATGGGGTAAACTTGCAACAGTTTTTCCTTTCTAAGGCTTTTCAAAATATATCCTTAAAGACAAACACTATATGATGAAACCACAGTTATATTTTGTGTAAACTAATTTTTAGAAGCCTTTTAGAGATTTCTACTACCATTTCATTCAGTTAAAAAATCTAACTATTAATTCATTTCTGGTTTGTCAGTTCCTCCTAAACTTTCTGTTCAAATTGTTTGTTGGATTATAATTTTATTACATATAATATGCAATTTATATAAATTCATCAATATATGACATATGGTTAATATATAATTACAATTCATTCAAATCTATATTTCATTATGTATATTACATACACAAAACCTAAAGCATTTAATCCAATTCCTCACATTTACATGTTCAAAAGTTCCTTCCCATGTATAAAATACATACCATGTACCAACAGAGGAATGATATCGTAAAGAATTTTTTCCACTTTTACAAGTCAGACCTTATTATAGAACTGTTAAGGCACTCAAAAATCCTTTAGCCAACCAAAATATTATAGCAGCATCTACATCTATAAAAATTGATTGCTAAGACTTGGACATAGTTTTATCATGCAGAAATTTCTGGTCACCGTATGAGCTAGATTACAGCAGCACATTTAATCAAAATTATAAAAAGCTTATTTCTGAACATGGAAACCTGGACATTAGGATGTTTTGCTAAGTGAAACTTCGGATGTCCACGGGGCTCACCGTGGCCCCCACTTCTTTGGCTTTATCTATTGTTTCCATTGCCAGCATATGATCAAGACCCGGGTCCAGTCCCAATTCACCGATGACAGTGATGCCAGCATCTTCCACACTACAACAGGTGAAAAGAGGAGGAAGGAAAAGGTGGACATAAAGTAAAAATAATGCCATGAAGCTTCCTCGTTGAAAATGACTAAAACTTACCTCTTTTCTAATTCCTTTAGCGCTGGTGTGATGTAGCTTGCTGTGACCATGTTAACTTTGCTTGTGATGCATGCCTTGGCCACGAGAGGATGTAGTACATAAGGCAGCAAGCTTTAAAACAGAGAGAGAAGCTAATCAGAAACCTTCTTGTCCAACCCTACTTTCCAATGTATCTTGAACTGCACTAAAGCTGATACATTGCCCTGATTAATTTATTCTCTCAGTGATGGTCCTTTCAGATGAGGCTTTTTGAGGACTATGGAATAAGTGCATCCTGTTATCACATTTAAAGCTCTCTACAATATGACCTTCACCTAGCCTTTCCATTTTTATCCCTTGAAATCTTCCATAAACCATATATGGGAAACAAAGAAGCCATTGTAACTCTCTGTGCCCAGCCTTTACTTTACCACCTCTGAACCATTACTGTTCCTGTGAATTCCATGTGGAATGCTGCCTCCACCCTCCCACTCCTACCCAGGTCATACCCTCCTTAAAAAAAATGTCTGAACAGTTATCTCTGCCAAGAAGCTCTCCCAGATTTTCCCAAAGATAGACTTTCTTCCTCTTCAGGTATTCGGCTATTTCTTTATAACATTTCATGAAATCTGTTTCATCCATCCTTATATTTCTATGATTTTCTATATTGGGTCCCCTACTAAAAGATAAGGTTGATGTTCTTTTCACTTCCACATCTCCCAGATGGCTATCAGGAGAAGGAGAAACTTAGCCAAGGTGGCCTGTGTATTACATTAAAGGGAAGAGTCTAGGAAGGGCCAGAGTAGGAGATGGGTTATTATGGTATTGAGCGGTATAAAGCCTGGCAAATGGCTAAAAGTCTATATAGAGAGCAAAAAATGAGGCTGTATTTAAAACTCAACTTTAAGTGGGTTTCAGTGTTTTAATCTGGTACTGGGACTATGCAATCACACACACAAAAAGATTTTCATAAATCTTTATATAAATTAGTATATTCACATTCAATCCAAGAAATAATAAAATATAGTATCAATCACTTAACAGTTCTACTAGCTTATTGCCTATTTGATAAAGCATTCTACATAGCAACAATGAAAATATAAATATAAACTTATAAACACTATTGCACTATAACTCTGTATATGTTAAAGTCATCTCGTATACTTCAGATTTTCTGTTTCACATAAAACAAAATCTTTTAGGCTCATCCTCCTCCGAAGATCAATTGAATAAGTGTTACTAAACAAATTTATTACCATGAAGAATAAAATTGGGTACATATTTTTCCAGTATCAATATAATAGCTCTTGACCTCTGCTTTCTGGCTTTTTTAATCTAAAAAGATTGTTACTAAATACAGTAACTGTTTAAAAGCCAATGAACAAAATACTTGCAAAATTTTTGTTAAAAAAACTATTAACAGAAAATGTACAAATGACATCATCTTCAAGGTTAAGTGATTTTTTGTCACTTTCCCAACACTGAAAACTTGCATGCTAACATGTTATCTAGATCTAATATATGTTTTAATTTGGCATTAATTGCATAAACCTAGTCATATGCTGAAACCTAGAGTGATAGGATTTTGATTAATGGTGCTTTATAAAGCAAAAGTGATTAGAATCCATAACTCACTGTGCATGTGATATAGTGACTAGCGAAGGGGATATGACTCTTGAATTGAGTTGACACCAACCCAATTAATCTAAATACTTACAAATGCCTCTTGTGAAAACATACACAAAATACAAAGGTTATTTTCAAACTCAATTAATATTTACATTAAATAATCAAAACTAAAATTAAAAATTCAAACTATGAGCATTTGACATATTATTATATTACTTTTTATAAAACATATTTCTTACTCAATTTTTTATTAATTTTATTTAGTTATTTTTCAAGTACAGTTTTTTGTCTATTTCTCCCATCCCAGCCTCCCCTGCCCCTTGCTCCCCACCTCCCTCCCATTTCCACCCCTCTTAGTTCTCGTCCCTGTGTCCTTCCTATTTGTTCCTCCAAATCTCTTCCCTTTTTTCCCCCTAACTTCCCTTCCCTCTCCCCTCTGGTCACTGTCCCCTTGTTCTCTATTTAACTTTGGTAGTTCTTATCACTATGCTTACATCAAAACATGTTCTCCAGTTGAAAAAATTATTTAAGGAAAACTACAGGATAACACTGCTTAACAGCATTTTCACTATTCAGCAAAATAACTCAACTGAGAAAAATTAAATATAAAAGAGATTTTGCTAATGCTAACTTCTAAAAGGTCACCCATTTGCTAAATTTTAAAATTTGAACTTATTAATAGATTATTGTCTTTATCTATTGTCTTTCATACTTTGCTTCAAATTTAGTTCCAAATGTATTTTGAATGTTGCTCTTTATCAAAAAAAATGATGTTACAGTTCAGTCCCTGTGTATGAGCAAATCCTCTTTGTTTTGCCCAGAGGCCAGAACACTCAGCTTTGAATCACACTTGTGTTCATAATCATATCACTGGCAAACAAGGCCCATTGGTCATTAGTAAGTTTTTGCTGAATAAAAATTAGTGTACATCAAATTTGTGTAAATTAAATAATGTTTAAGTGTCTAAAATGAGCTTATGTTTAAATAAATCCAGAGACAACACAAAAGTTCCCTCTTAGAATTACCTTTAATTGTACCTGTTCTTCAAGCCGGTTTTTCTTAAAACATCACAGAACTTCTTCCAAGGATAGCATTTAAATTTGATCTAACTTTTGTAAAGATATCATTTAAATTTTATCTAACTATGAATTGATACAACTATGAATGATCAGGTAACCTTCTTTCTTTTATTATTACCATATTTTTCAGACTATAAGACACACTTTTTCCCATCCCCAAATCTGGGAGGAATAACGGTTGTTAATGCTGCTGTTGAGTTTTGTTTACATTTACACTGGTGAAATATTATGTCACTTATGTTATTAAATACTTTACTACATTTTTTGCTTCAAAATTTTTTTCTTATTTTTTTCCTCTAAGACCTAGGTGCATCCGAAAAATATGGTATATCCTAAGAATAAATGACTATTCTCTTCACTTTGTTATTTCAAAATCATGTTTAATTATAGGGCGAACTTCATGTAGCTCTATATTTAGAAGTTATATCTAACATTTTTGGCAGTAATAAGCATAGCAATTCAAGATCTATTCCTATTGAAAGAGTTATAAAGCTAAAGAATTTATAGAATTTCATTTAAGCTTTATAAATCCAAAGGATAAAATAGCTCCCAAAACATATGAAATGTGAGCATCTAACGACACAGCAGTTCTACTTTTAGGCAGAACCCCAACAGGAATGCGTATATATGGTAAATAAAAAGCAAATTATAAAATGCTCAGAGCAGCATGATTTATAATAGCCAAAATCCAGACAAACCTAAATATCTATCAACAGTCAAATGGATAATAATAGCATATTCACATATGAAATATTACACAGCAATGAGAATGAATAAACTACAATTATGGACAACAGCATAAACAACTCTCAAAATCACAACATTAAATGAAAGAAGGCAGCCACAAATGAGAACATGCTGAATAATTCTAACCATAAACTTGAAAACTAGCAAACATGAATACGTTAGAAGCCAGGATAGCACTTATCCTTGGGAGACACAGCTAGTAACGGGGAGCACAAAGAGGGATTTGGGGGTATGTACTCTGTTTCTGGGTGTGAATGATGGTTATATGGTATGTTCACTGTGTGAAAAATCATGGAACTATACATTTATGGTTTGTGCATTTTTCTCAATACATAATTAAAACTAAAGTTTACTAGAGAAGGGAGAGGAGAGGAGAACAAAAAGGGGAAAAATAAGGAAATAAAAATAACAGTATCAACAAAATATACAGCCATCATTTCTTGCTAAATACTAACCTGATGACAAGATGCTGTGTTGCCACCAAGGAGCCCAACTTCTCTTCTTGTTTACAAATGTCCAGAACAACAGGATTAATATTATATTTCTTGCCTAACTGTTCAATTTGATTCTTTAGGTCAGAGCCTATTTCAAGAATAAAGAAGCCCAAATTTTAGTTCTCCTAGTCAGAAAGCAAAACACTTTTAACATCTCCAAACTAAATTTCAAAGTTTAAAAAAAATAGTCATTTAAAATTCACAGGGTAAACATATGAAATTATTTCTCCTTCTTCAGAAATTAGGGCTCCTTTACCTACGGTTATTTCTATATTGCAGTCTCGTGACAGGTATTCCAAAACAGGCTCGGCGACATAACCAGTACCAAGGACCAAGACCTTTTTCTTGGTGGCCATTGACAGCAACTGAACATGTTCTCTATGAAAAAGAATAAAAAGGCAGTTTGGTTAATCATTTAACCAAAAACAATTTAAATAACAGAATCCTACTGTCCACAAGCCAAACTAAAACTTCATGAAAAAAAACCATAAAGCAATGATTTTTCCCACATTATTCATCATAAGAACCTTAACAGAAATTCTCTGCACCAACATTTTTTATTAATTATGTTAGATTCTGTACAGTGGACAACACGAACCCTGACATCTCTGAGGCGGGTATTCACAGACCGCCATAGATTTGACTAGTGAGGTGCAGATGCTGGTCCACTGATTGTCTTACTCACAACTAAGTAACTTGGTCTCACACTTCCTCCTTCCAAGGGACATGATTTGAAATTGTACCAAGGGCTTTACCTCAGAAACTGTATCATTCCTCACAACAATCTGATATAACAGTCTGAGATTATCATTACTCATATTAGACATTGTTTGGTCATTTATATTTTGGATCACTTGAAAACAGTTGAAACCATAACTTTGAAATCACAAATGTCGGGGGTCAAATATAGAAATCTGAGACAAGTAACCAGGCAGGAATTTAATTCTCGACAAGTTTATTCTGTTAAGAATTTACACCTTTCTGACAGAGAACTCTTTGTCTTTCCAGCAGAACTATTACCTCTAAGATAAGGGTGACTAAGTCTTACTCATTTTCATAAACCCATCAATGCTCAGTGTAGTTTGTCTTTAATATAGAAAGTATTCATTAAATGCATTTTGAATCAAATTCCCAGATATCAGTGTAAAACCACAGAAACAGCCTGGTACCAGGGATCTTTTAGACCAGACTATTTCTCAAACTTTAACCTTTTTATTAATCATAAGTAAATAAAAATAACTATAAGTATAAAACACCCCTGTCGTAGCCCTGGCTAGGTGGCTCAGCCGGTAGGAGCATCATCCCCTACACCAAAACATCCTGAGTTCAATTCCTGGTCAGGACACAAACCTAGGTTGCAGGTTCTATTCCTGATCAGGGTGGTTGCAGTAGGCAACCAATCAATGCTTTTCTTTCCCTTTGATATTTCTCTCTCTCTCTTTCCCCTCCTTCCTCTTTCTAAATCAATAATAAAAATATCCTAAGGTGAGGATTTAAAAAATAAATAAAATGTCCCTGTCCCTCTTTACCTCCAACGTTCATATTACTGATGAAGTGAGGTCTCCTTTAACTTTCACCCCATCCCATTCCACCTAGCAAAAAACAAACAAACAAACAAACAAAAACCAAAAAAACAAAAGCAAAAACAAAACGAAACAAAAAAAAACAAAAATAACCCTCACTATACTTTGGCTATAGTACATCCTTCTTAATAACACTTTCTATGGTTATATAATTAAAACATATTATTTTGATATCTAAATATATTGTTCAAAATATATATATATTTTAAAATTACACCTAGATTCTAATATGGTCCATCTCATCAGCACCTACAACCACTCCAGGTTCATCATCACTGTGCTAAGTGACACAGAGAAGGTACAAATAAGGCAGGGTGCCGCCTAACTAACAAGTTTCCTTTCAAAATGCACTCTTTGTATCACTCTCTTGGCACAAGAGTTTAGTAGGGAAGAAGGGCAGAAAATCCTAGTAACTGGAGCCAGGTGGACTTGCTGGTTCATAAACATGGTGTATGAGAGTGAAGATATTTTGTCTAACCGGTCGTGTTAGATACTCCACTGGGATTAGCATAAGAGATCACCAGGTAATGACGTCAAAAGATACAGAGAGCTCTGAAAAACAAATACATGTCATATTTCCCCAATAATGAACTCTCCTAAAAGGTTTAAAGCTAGTTGCTTTAAAAAAAGAAAGAAAGAAAACAACATGTTCTACACTTTTGCTGTCTTCTGCCCAAATATTTCATTGATACATAAAAAGTAACCAACAGCAAACTAATACATATGGAAAAAGCATAACAGTAGTATACTTGATCTCTGCAGATGTCCTCATCTACTTCTTACAGGGACAACAACTGAGAAAGAAGGTTGTTTGCTTGTTGGTTTGTTATTAGTTTTCCTGCTCTGGTTTCTCCTGCGAACTCAGTGCATGGGTCATTTTGTTAGATAGGAACAGACCCCTGGAGTGGATATAAACACAAATCAGGTGTAATCAGCTGAAGTGGACTAAAGCATTCCAAAGAAACGGCAATGTTTTCAAACTTTGAGTAGAAAAATCAATTAAGAAAACCAGGACCTTAGCTTAGTACCTTTCTGTGGGAACTATTCTCTTGTGTAGATTTCCTATGATACTTTTTGACACCATCCTCCTAATAAGAATCTCCAGGGAAAAGTGACCTCTGATCATTTTCTTTCTTCACCTAATCTCTAACCAAGAGCTCACTTTCCTAAATATTACACTAAAGAAAAGAGAGTTCAAAACCTCAACCAAAAACCAGTCTGAAAGCACCATAGAAAGGGTTAGTGTGCTCGTTTTCCTTTGACAAAGTAACAGAGGTGGCAATATGCAAAGTGCTGGAGAGACGCGCCCCAAAGGACAGCCTTTTGGACTTGTTTTGGTTTACACACAAGCCTACAGAGGGTATTAGAAAGCCCAAATAATGCTTCCGTACTGTTCAGGGGGAAATAATTCACACTGGCTCCAGCTAATCACTTACTTTGGATTTCCTGTATTAATAGGCATTTTCAAAATTTACATCTTGTATAAACTTAGTTTCACAAACTCACATTGAAACATTAAAAAAATACTCATCAGATCCAAGATAAGAACAATGCTTACCTGCTCTCTCGGAGTTTCTGGATATATTTAAACTTATCAGGCAATGTACCGTTGGATGTAATCACTGCCTAAATGTATATGACACAAGACATTTCTTTAATATCCACATTTTAGTCCCACAAACATGGGCTCATGACTGATAGAGAAGAGACAGACAGATAAAGATGGGGAGAGAGAAAGGAAAAGGAGAGAGGGGAAGGAGGATTGTAGCAAAAAATACACTTATAGAAAAAAGTAATTTCATAACTTACATCTCGCACCACAGGAGAAAAATTCTGACTTTCAAGAGGTTGTGTTGCATCTGATAATATCTGCAGGGAAAAATAAGATTGGTAAGAGACAAATGACATTGCAAAGAAGACTTCTTGGTGTTTTTACTCATATTAAAATATTAGTCAAAAGAAAAAATAATTTAAACAAAGCAACAAACAACAAATGTTGGAGAGGGTGTGGGGAAAAGGGGTCCTTAGTTCACTGTTGGTGGGATTGCAGACTGGTACAACCATTATGGAAAACAGTATGGAATTTTCTCAGAAAAATAAAAATCGACCTGCCTTTTGACCCAGCAATTCCACTGCTAGGATTATATCCCAAGAATCCTAAAACATCAATTTCAAAGAACCTATGCACCACAATGTTCATAGCAGCACAATTTACAATAGCCAAGAGTTGGAAGCAACCTAGGTGCCCATCAGTAAATGAATGGATCCAAATATTGTGATACATATACACAATGGAATTCTATGCAGCAGAGAGAAAGAGGGAGCTACTACCCTTTGCAACAACATGGATGGAACTGGAAAGCATTATGCTGAGTGAAATAGGCCAGGTGCTGAAAGACAAATACCATATGATCTCACCTTTAACAGGAAGCTAAACAACAAAACAAACAAGCAAAGAGAATAAAAACAAAGACACTGAAATAGAGAACAAGTGGGCAGTGACCAGAGGGGAGAGGGGAGGGAATTTAAGGGGAAAAAAGGGGAGGGATTTTGAGGAACAAGTGTGAAAGACACAGGGATGAGGACTGGGGGGGAGGAAATGGTAGGGAGGTGGGGAGCACGGGGCTGGGGGGGGGCTGGGATGGGAAAAATAGACAAAAAAACTGTACTTGAAAAATAACTAAATAAAAATTTTTTAAAAGACTCCATTACAAAAAAAGAAAAAATAATTTAGAAAAGTTTCTGAAGATCCATAAATAATTGTAAAAGTCTTCTACAAGCTATGAGGTCTGCCCTGAAGAGCAAGCTGTTTCAAAACAAGTTCTAATTTTAAAAGTAAAATTTAATTACAATCATGTAATCAAATTTTGCTTGCTGGAAACATAAAAAAACTTACTCTTCCTCACCAGTTCAATGTGTCATATTGTTCAGGCTGGCAAATATCACCACAAACTTTGTAGCTACAGTGCTCATTCTTAGGGCCTTTATCCCATTCCAAGGGTTTGGGCTATTCTATTATAAGTAGAGAATGGGTCTATAATGGGGATAGAGCAGGGGTCAGAGAATAAATCCCCAAAAACTCCACAGCCAGGGCTTGAGGGGCAGGGGAAGCAGAGTGCCACTTGGGAGATTTTGCACATCTGGCAATTTGGCTAGCTTCATAGGTATGCTAAATATCTGTGCCTGTCTTGCCCAAGGATTAGCATAACCTTAACCCATGATGTAGCCCCCAGGGCTTGCTGTGCCTGTGCAAGTCTTGGAGTCAGTTCATTCTTTGTCATGGGGCCATACCTGCCCAAATTAACAATGGGAACAGAGACCTGGCAGGGGTAAGCCATTGTGGGAGGAGTCAGAAATAGGATTATGGAGGAAGTTCAAGCCAGGATTTAAACTAGGCATGGCAACCATTCATGCTCTTGGCCAAGTGGGTTAAAAGGGCGCAGAAGGACCCCAACTGGCCCACCATGACAAGGTGTCACACAATTTTGGATTAAGAGCTGGAAAAAACAGCAACAAGGTTGATGATGCTGAGGACAGTGGAACCTGTCCAGCCAACCATTGATTAGTGAGAGATGTCGGGGATACTGAACTGCAGTGGGGGAATCCTGAGTGGTGAACTTCTGGTTTTTTTCTCCTGAGAGACAGTACCTCTGACAGGCATGTTCTGAAACTGGCCTGAGATGGCAAAAGGGAGGCAGGAGTGGGAGTGTGTGCTTGTGGGTGTTTTAAAGGGAGTGGGACTTAATGGCACAATTCAAGCATTATTCTAATTCTGTATAACTTTTAAATAAACATTTCTTTTCCTTTTCACTAGACTCTGGCATTGGGAGTCTCAGCAGCATGCAATTGAGCTCACACATCTGTTTCAGAATTGTGTAGGCCTGCATTCTGTTACAGGTTTTCCAGAGAACGAGCCTGCCAATCATACAGTAGGAAATTTCCTGCAGATCAGTATTAGTTCTGAGTGTAGACACACATCAATCAGGGATGACCACCAGCCCAATCATTCACACTCTTATCAGTCATTACCTTGCAAGAATGAGTCAAAGGCAAACAACAAAACTCACATCTCTCATACTAACACCCTAACAACTTCCTCATTTCCCTTTTTTTAAATCAAGGTATCTATTTCTTGAATAGAGTGCCAAGTGGTAAAGGTCATATAAACCAGTATTGTTGCTTCTGATGGTCTGAGCATTAGGGCCAATGACACAATCATTCTCCACCCCTTTATCCATAGGTTAAAATCTAGCCACTCACCCTACCAGAGGCTAGCAGGAGGGTATTTATTTACTGTATTAAAATAAACAAAAAACTACTTTCATTTATCTAAAACACAAGACACCTAGGCTGTCTTTCATTTAAATCACAAATCTGATCATTTCTCCTGTGCCAATTTAAAATAACTCAGTATAATTCCCTTGCCTTCAACATAAAGTCTCGGACTTCCGCCAAGATGGAGGCATAGGTGGATGTGTCGTACCTTCTCACACAACCAAGTTTAGAGACAACTAAATATTAGCAACAGAAAACACAGCCAAAACACGGAAAATTGAACTTTTCGGAAGTCCGTTAACAACAAATTCTTCAGCCTGACCGGTAAGGGGCGAAACCAGCAGCTGGTGAGGGGTTGCACAGGAGGACTCCGTCAGACAGACTCAGGCGCGGAATCCAGACGCGAGGAATCCAGGCTCAGGGTTGGACCTAGTGAGCGAAGGAGCGAGCCACCAGGCGAGCGACCAAGGAGGAGACAGCCGGGAAGCGGTGCTGCGTGTTGACTGTGGTCGCCCATTTGTGCTTGAGCGGACAGGCGAGGGAGTGGGCGTTTGGACCGGGCGAGCGGGTCCCCCGGCAAGCGGGGGGTGGAGAGCACCGCCATTTCCCCGCTCTGACCACGCCCCCACATACAGCGTCACAAACCAGCGACCTGGGAGTCCAAGGCACCGCTTCTCACACTTAAAGGGCCAGAACAGACCAAAAATGTTGCAAGATCTCAAAGCTCCAGAGCCCATAGATCTAAGCGATGAAGAAATAGCAAAACTCTCAGACGCACAGTTTAAAACACTGGTCATCAGGATCCTCACAGAACTGGTTGATTATAGCCACAAATAAGACAAATATATGAAGGCGAAACTAATTGAAATGAATGGAATTGCACAGGACACCAATAGCGATGAAAAGGAAACTGGGACTCAAATCAATGGAGTGGACCAGAAGAAAGCAAATAATGGCCAAACAGAAAAGAGTCAGGAAGCAAGAATTCAAAGAAATGAGGAGAGTCTTAGGAACCTCCAGGACATCTTTAAACGCTCCAACATCCGAATTATAGGGGTACCAGAAGGGGGAAAGGCACAGCCACCAGTGGAAAACTTATTTGAACAAATAATAAAGGAGAATTTCCCCAATCTGGCAAAGGAAATAGACTTCCAGGAAATCCAGGAAGCTCAGAGAGTACCAAAGAAGTTGGACCCAAGAAGGAACACACCAAGGCACATCATCATTACATTAGCCAAAATTAAAATGAAGGAGAGAATCCTAGAAGCAGCAAGAGCTAAGGGGACAGTCACCTACAAAGGAGTCCCCATCAGACTGTCAGCAGATTTCTCAAAAGAGACCTTACAGGCAAGAAGGGGCTGGAAAGAGGTATTCCAAGTCATGAAATCCAAAGACCTACAACCAAGATTGCTCTATCCAGCAAAACTTTCATTTAGAATGGAAGGACAGATAAGGTGCTTCTCAGATAAGATAAAATTTAAGGAGTTCATCATCACCAAGCCCCTATTATATGAAATGTTAAAGAGACTTATCTAAGAAAAAGAAGTTAAAGAAACATGAACAGTGAAAGGACAACAAACTCACAGTTATTAACAACCACACCTAAAATGAAAGCAAACTAAAAGGACAGCTAGATCAGGAGTGGAAACATAGAAATGAAGATCTCAAGGAGGGTTAGCAACAGGGGAGTGGGAGGAGGAGATGGGGGAGAAGGTACAGAAAATAAGTAGCATAGACAGTAGATAGAAAATAGATGGGGGGTGGCAAGAATAGCATGGGAAATATAGAATCTAAAGGACTTGAGACACATGGTCCTAAACTAAAGGGGGGTAATGGGGTAATGGTGGGGATGGGGGGTAGGGTGGAGGGGAATGAAGGGGGGAATAGAACAACTGTAACAGCATAATCAATAAAAAAAAATTAAAAAAAAAAGATAAAGTCTCTAGCTCCTTGGGTGGCCTACAAGTCTCTCTACACACTGGTTCTGTAATTATGATTTAATGCTACCAATCCAGTGGTCAAAATTATGTTTTCTGTAACAAATCCAAGGATATAGTCAATCCTGTACTTCCACCTCTGGCCAAATTCTCGTTCAAGTTGAACAGCCTATTCCAGTGGTAGGGAACACTGACGCTGACAATAAAACTGCAGCTGTGTGGTTAGCACTCACTGAAAGACAATATTGGAACAGAAAGAATGAGCCTGAGCGGGAACTGCACATCACCAGAAAGCCCACAGTTCCCCTTCCCCCATGATTTTCCTATGTAACCTAGCCAAAACGTCTGAAATGTTAAAATGGTTTGCAAGGACAGAAGCCTGCAATCTTCTCAGGTCACCAGCACCTGAATAAACTTCTTTTCTTATTCTCCATATCTGTGTCATGAGTATTGGCTTTCATGGTAGCAGGCAACCAGGTCTGTAGGTCATTTCCTTGGCTTCAGCTCTGCCTCTCAAACTTTGGCTCTCCCTTGAGCCTCATACCCAACATTTTAGATCTATGAACAGCATGGAACTGCTTATCTGTGTCGTGCTTTCATATCCCTCTGGGCTACACCAGGTAGATGCCTCACATTCTGTTCCTCTACCTGAAACTC